ATATAAATTATTATATGATTACATGATAATAATAAAAATAGTAGATTATAAAAATAGTAAAACACAGACATTTTGAAGATACTAGATCATACAAAAAGTATAAAGAAGAAAAATATTATCCATAGTCTTAAATACAGAAGCAAACACTACGACGGTTTTGCATCCTTTCCATTTAGTCTCTTTCTGTGCTTATTATTTTAACACTAGAGGCCTGGTGCACAAAATTCATGCATGGGTGGGGTCCCTAGGCCTGGCCGGTGATCAGGGCCAGGCCAATCAAGGCCAGACCAGAGAGGAGGTAATGGTCGCTGGGCTGGGTGCAGAAGGAACGGATGCTGGATGCTTATGCTGCCATCATTGGCACGCCGCCACCATGCAGTTCCCCGCCTCGACCCCCCCCCCCCCCTTGCTGCCACGCTGCCACTGTGGTGGGTGGGCAGTGGGCCGATCGGGGTCTGCCGGCCAGGAGGAGGGACAGGGCACGGGAGGTTGGCCACCAGCCCTGAGGAGGGAGCTGGCCCTCAGCCCCCCTGGGAAAGAGGCCACATCTGCTGCCACCCACCCCCTGTTCCTCGTCCCAGCCTGAGGCCTGGCCCCAATTGGGTGATTGAGGCTTGCCGGCCGGGGGAGAAACCGGGGGAGGTTGGCTGTGGGAGCTCACTGACTACAAGGGGGAAGCTTCTGCATTGAGCGTCTGCCCCCTGGAGGTCAGTGCATGTCATAGCGACTGGTTGTTCCAGTCGTCTGGTCGCTTAGGCTTTTATATGTATATAGATGGCTAGATGAATGCTATTTATTTTAAATCTTCACCTGAGGATATGTTTTTACTGATTTTTTCAGAGAAAGAGGAAAGAAGAGGGAGAGAGAGAGAACCATCAATGTGAGAGAGAAACATTAGTTGGCTGCCTCCTGTAGGCCCCCTGTCAGGGGATTGAACCCGAAACTTGGATATGTACTCTGACTGGGAATTGAAACATCTTGGTGCACGGGACAAGGCTCCAACCAGCTGAACCACACTAGCCAGACCAAGAATTCTGTCTATACCATTTGATCTTGATTTTTATTTTTGCTTAAATTTTCTAACATACACATTTATCTTTGTTAAAATGTTTACATTTTAAATAGCTCCATAATATTTCATTGTATGGTTGTACTATAATTTACTTAAATTTTACTTTGGACATTTAAGTTGTTCTCAGTTTTCTGCTTTCATCAATAATACTGCTATTATAAATAAGAATGTACTTATAAATAACAATGCCTTTATATATAGGCATAATATATATAATAATACATTTTTTGCCAGCATTGCAGCTTATTTACTAAGACAGCTTTTTGTGACAAGGCTAGTAGTACATACTGCCAAAGTTTTCCAGAAAGGTCGTGTGAATTTTTTATCTTACCTGTAGTGTATGAGAATGTGTCTTTCACTCAGCTCTGGTCAGTAAGGGATATTTATCTTAATTTTTTTTTCTTTTTGATAGGCAACATATTTTAATGTACTTTAAAAAATGATTAGTGATATTGATTCCTCTGCCTGTTAATGATTTTGTAAATTTTCTTTTAAATCATTGGTCTCTCTCTCTTTTTATATTTTTTTCTGTGAGGTGATAGTGATTTTTGTTTTTTGAAGTTTGTTTTTTTTTTTAAATACAGAATTACGCTTTTTACCTTGTGTGATGTCGAGTAAACTGCTTCCGCTTCCTTACGACTAATTTCTTCAGACTTGTTTTGGAACTCTTCTGGAGCCTATAGGCTATTTTATGCCCTTCAAGCTTTTAGATATTCCCCCTTGTGGTAATTTTCAATTTGGAGAACAAATCTGCAGCCATATTTGATTACCTTTCCTTTTCGTGCTTTCCCTTCAGCGTTCACATTTCCAGACTGAAGAGCACAGGTCTTCCAGTTGGTTTTGCGGAAGATTCTCTTTCTCCCCTGATTCTCATTGCAGAGAACAGAAATACATGAAACACTTCTATGATTTGTAGAACTGGATCTCAAAATTAAGGTGCATATATGTTGAGCATGGTCAGGTGCCTTATACATTTACGAGCGTATGCGATGGAATGAAAGATTAGGGGTTGGTGGTTTTTTTTCTTCACCTTTATGCCAAATAGTGTTTTACCCCTGCGTGGTTGTCAGTCTTTTGGCACGATTGTGTTCCAGACTGCTTTCCATAGCTCCCACTTCAGCGTGCTCCAGGGAAATGAGAGCAGGCTGAGCACCACACTGGGATTTCAATCCTGTCGTTATTTTACTTGCTTAGTAACCTTGGACCAATCACGTAGCCCCATGAGGCCTTTGTTTCCTACCTGTGAAGTGCAGAATCATAGCACATACCTCTCAGAATGGATGAGAAGATTCAGTAGGACCCCATGACCCGCCTCACCAGCTGGGGGTAAGGTTGTACCCCAAGGTATAGGTTTGCTCATATCTTTTAAAATTTTCTAATTAAATTTTGAATTCCTACATGCCAATAAGTTTAGAATCTCCTACTTTAAATATCCTTTACAAATTAAGCAGAACCCCAGGGGCTTACTCTTCCAAAGAAATCTCCCTTCCAACCCCACATGGAGAGAAACTTGGAAAAGCCTGACCAGTCACGTGTAGGCTCTGGTTTCAGCTGCTATTGTTTTCCTTATATATATATAAAAAATGTTTGTATTGATTTTAGAGAGAGAAAGGGAGAGGGATAGAAATATCAATGATGAGAGAGCATCATTGATCGGCTGCCTCCTGCCCACAGCAGGAGATTGAGCTTGAAACCTGGCCATGTGCCCTGACCTGGAATCCAATCATGGCCTCCTGGTTCATGGGTCTACGCTCAACCACTGGGCCACACCAGCCGGGCTCAGCTGCTATTGTTTTTGTTGGTACTTTTTGGCCCCACCCAGTCTAATGGCCCTTACTGCTGCCTTCGGTCCCAATCCTGGCACACACAACATGGTTGCTAGGATGTGGCCTCTTAAGGTTACTTCTCCTCAGGTTACAACCACTCGGTCATTGTGTGACATCTGGACTGGATCCAGAGGAACTTGTCACCGTCCAGACATCCTTTTATGGTGGGTTATGGGACCCTGGCATCTTTTCCTGCCAATGGGTGTCAGTTAGAACCATCCTAATTCAGGTGAAACATCCTGATGACAATACATTGCAAAAGGTAGTGGCCACGGTCACATGTCCCTCTAGGAAGCTCCTTCAGTGCAGAGAGCACATGCAGGTGCCTCCTCCAGCTACCTGCTAGCACCTGCTAGCACAGCTCCTCATTCAGCAATGGAGGTGCTGACTCCTCTTAAATTTGTAAATTCAGGTGACTCTCCTCTTAAATTTGTAAATCCAGGAACAAAAAAGGTCTGCCAAGGAACTTTTTGACGCTATCCAGAAAGAAATGTCTGATCCCTTCTCATTAAATAACCCAATGAAAAAGTTCTGCTTCATCAACAGGCACCTATGCATAAAGCACTTAGCATGCTCCTGTCACCCAGTAGGTACTCCCCAAATTAGTTCTCTCCCTCCTCCCCTCCCCCTTAACTCTGCCACACTTCTGCATTATTGTGGCTGGAAGCACGGAGCTTTGACCGGTCCCTGAGTGTCCATTTCTCTGCTTGGCTCTGTGTGAACACACCTCAGATGGCTCTGGGTTGCCTCTGACGGGCTCTCCAAGCTGGGCGTGAATGCTGGCTTGTTGTCAGCATAAAACAAAAGTTGGTGGCAGCCAGTCATCACTCTGACCTCTGGCGGCCTCCAGCAGGGTTCCACCTTCAGAGCTGCCTTTTGGGTGTTTTGGCCTAAGGCATCTATCCTTTCTTCAAATAGGTTTTATTTTACATTTGTATTCAATTCATATTTTTTTATACAGTAAACAAGCCCATTTTGTCATGAAGAATGTGCTCATCAAACCATGAACAATGCTTAGCTAGTCTCCCCTTTAAGACAGGCGGAGGCATTTATAAAGTGTACCTTGTCACCAACCCTTGCCCCACAAATAACCTCCTGCTCTCTGTGGGAAAGGGTGTGGCCTCTGCGTTTTTGGAGGTTTAGTTTCATAGACCCGTGTTTTCCTCGTCTGGTTTCGCCAGCGGTGCCCGGTTAGAACACACAGAGGGGCCCTGGGCCATTGTGGTCAGAGGCTGACCTCAGAGGCTTCTCAGACCGAGCTCTTGACTGCATTCCCTCCAGGCGTTCCCAGACGTCACCAGCAAGCCCGAGGGTGTATCACAAAGCCGCACTATCCTCCGAAAGAAAGTGACAGCTCCCTTGCATTATGTTGGGAACAGAAATGAGGTTCCTCGTTTCATGAGGCATAATCAGGCTTTATATCACATTATTCTTGCAGGCATTTCATTATTGACTTTAGACACAAACTCAGAGAAGTGGAAAGAAGAAAAAGGGGGACTAATTTTAAAGTGCTCTTGAAATGAGCCTTAGTATCTCCTGCCATGTCCTTAACTGGCAGCCTTTGGCTTTAATATTTTCAACAGAAATTCTTTGCTAATGTTTTGCTCATGACACAGGGCTTTGGTTTAATTGCCTTTGTTTTTTATTTTTTTTATTTTCTTCCAGAATTAGCCTCTCTCTCTCTGAAAAAAAAAATTGCATCCTGGCTCTTTGAAATCCCCACTGAATTTGGAGAAATTACATCTTGGCATCCACCCTACTTTCCTGAAACACAATGTGAGGCTGACGACACAGCCCAATCACTCCACTTGACAATGAGTTTGCTTGTCTCATTTCTCTTTAAGATTCAGTGGTGAGTAAGAACAGAAGTGGAAAGCCTTACTTAGCACAGTTTATTATACGTTTTGTGGCCAGGATAATTGCTTTTACGAAGTCGTAAAGAAATTGATCAGATTAGGGTGAATCAAGCTGGCTGGCCAATAGCTATTGGAATGATTCTCCACGTGTGACTTTGTTGCATTATTACAAAACGTGGCAGGATAGACATGCCCAGCCGCCTCGGCAGACCTTCACTCGTAATGCTGCCTTAAGGAGATGAAGAGATGAGGACAAATTGTTCCAGCGGCTCAGCCTGCGCTGCCAACAGTTCAGAGGAGAAGCTGCCAGTGGGGTTTCAGGCACCTGGGAACCTGAAACTTGTCTTCACAGTGGTGTTAGCCGTGATGATGGCCCTGGTCATGTTCTCGCTGGGGTGCTCTGTGGAGATCCGGAAGCTGTGGTCGCACATCAGGAGACCCTGGGGCATTGCGGTGGGGCTGCTCTGCCAGTTTGGGCTCATGCCTCTTATCGCCTATCTCCTGGTCATCAGCTTCTCCCTAGAGCCCATCAAAGCGATTGCTGTTCTCATCATGGGGTGCTGCCCGGGGGGAACCGTCTCTAACATCTTCACCTTCTGGGTGGATGGAGACATGGATCTCAGGTAAGTTACCCTCAGGAGCTCAGTCTTCCCCTGGTAGCACTTTGCCTGGGGTGGGAGCTAACTGACACCTTTCGTGTTGAAAACTCTGCCAATTTTTAGGTGGAGAACCAAGTGGGAAATATTTTACAGAGACTTGTTCAGTCCTGGAAAGACTTGCCTTTCGGAGCTTAACATGGACTTTTGCTGTGGTTGTCCTCTGTTGGACTGGTAGCTGCTTTTCTGAGTGGAGGGCTTTGGTTTACATCTCCCAGGATATAAGCTGAGCATCCCAGGAGCTAATGACGGGGGCTTGGAAGCTGTCGTGGTGATGGTGGTGGTGGCATAACCAGAATCAGGCCTTGTAGCTCTACCAGCAAGTGTTGCACCTACTTCATGAAATCAGTGTTTTGGGGACGGAATGAAGGCGCTCAGGGCTACGTGATTGATGTATCCTGGTTTAAGTGCCGGTGGTGGCCTACTGAGTCGACTTGGAGAGCAACATAAAGATTTATGATTAAAAATGTCCTTTCTTGTTGCTTTTCACATGCTTTAACATTTATCAGGAGAATCCTATTCCTTTCATTTAGGCCAGTGACCTTATTCCCAATCATGGTGTAAATAAATACCCCTAGGAGACGTTAGGCTTTATCACTCATCTATGCTTTAATGAGGATAAGTTAATCGAATATATATTGTGATGGGGATGGGGAGGGGGAAGAGAGCATTTGAGGAAAGAATACAGGAGTCACAATTGGAAAAGTGAAAGAGCTAAAAGCAGTATCTTTCCAGATTCTTAGCTTACTGATGAACAAACTGTTTCAGGTCCTGCCCAGGGAAAGAACTACTTATAAATGTAAATCTTCGTTTGAGGTGCATGTCATTCAGTTGAGATTTATTATTCGATGAATGAATGAATCAGAGGTGCTGACTGTGCTGGGAGTTGATGTGAGTGAGTCAGCTGCACAGGTGGGTCTCTTGTTTCCTGCGTGTGCTGAGTGGGTAATGTGGCACGTATTCCACCTCTACATTTTAATGGGGACAGACCAATAATTAACTTTGACATGGCAATGTGTTAGTGACCCACTTATCAGGGATTTGAAAAGAATCACTTGTTGCATTGCTAATTAAAAAATAAGCCGCACTGATATGCATTGCTAATTTAAATCCAATAAAGATGATCATTAACATAATAATTGGGAAATGATAAATATCCTTTATTCAAAGTCCACAGGTCAGCCATAAGTTTTGGAATCTGAAAGTTTTTGGAAAGAAAAAGGAAATATTTCTTGAGTACCCTGATTAGGCATGAGGTAGATGCTTTCACGTGTTCTCTTTCTCTTTCTTTTTTAAGTCATCATCTCTCTCCAAGACGACATGAGTTCTCATCATTGGTCCCTTTCCCTTCTTTCTGGGCTCTCATAATAACCTTGCACATGACCTTTTATTTTTCGGAGTTTTACAGCTGAGAAAATTGTGACTCAGATGGGTTAAGCGCTCGCCAAATGCTACAAATGGGTATGGCAGAATGCAGATTTGAATTCGCATCTGTTTCTCATCAGGCTGCAGTTGAGGCACTTTCTTCCCTGCTCCTTACACATGAGATCCTCTGTTCTGAATAGGAGCGGAAATCTGTAAGCAGTGCTCTCAACCACTCTGTTCTGGGGAAGAGAACATTTATTCCTCTCATATTAGTCAACATTGCAATAAAAATACCAGTGAGTAGGAAGTCTATAAAATGTAAAGCTCACTTTACTTCACTTAATTAGCTTTAACTTTGGTCAAATTATTTAATCTGTAAGCCTCATCTCCTCATTTGTAAAATTGGGTTAAAATTACTTATTCCTCACAAAACTATATTTTAAGGAGAAAATGTACATGCAGAATGCCAGGCACATAGTGGGTATGCAGTAACTATTAGCTACTGTACCCTTTTTCTTTTAAAATTTGATTTTGGTCTCACAAATCAAACAAAACAAAACAAAACAAAACAAGCAAAAAATAATCTGTAAGACATGACATTTTAAAATTGGGACTAAACATTAGATTTTTCAAAAGCTTATAGATACAAGAATCATAAAACCTTAAGTCTCAGTAAAAATTGCAAAAAGGGGAAGATTCAGTATTATTGAGTGAAGTAACATCCAAGTTCATTACTTTTCTTCCCACTTGATTACCAATAAAAATAACTTTTCAGCAAAACTCAATAGATTGTCAAAGATAGAAATTCTGTTTTTCATGCTGGGTATAATTCAGCATCTGGAACAACAACTTCATTTTGCAAATGAAGAAATTGAGATTTAGCTCTATGCAGATCACTCCGAACATGTTTCTCATGCCTTAACTCTGTGTTCATTCAACCTGTGTGCAATCCTCCACGTGTTCATTCCATGCAGGGCATTTCAGAATCAACATGTTTGAACCAGTTTCTGCATTCTGAGTATCTGATCACGACACCTATCATTTTCCATCACCCGGGCTCACCATCTGAGCAGTCCCTTGTGACTCCCTTCATTCTTCACCTTGTTCACTCAATCTGCTGTCTAGCCCTGTAGCCCATCCCCCTGCATGTCACCCATGCCTATTGTTTTCCATCTGTCCCCACTGCCATTGTCTCAGGCCAGGCCCTCACAATTGCTTTATTGGCTGTTATGGTGTCTTTACAAAGTTCTCCCCACCGTCAGTCTCTCCATCATGGTTTTGTCGTAAGCGGATAAAGCAGGCTCTGGGCTCTGATTGCCTATATTTAAATCTTGACTTGGGACCTTTTTTCTGTAACTGGAAGTCATAATACTTTACGGTATTGTAAAGAGAAAGTGAACATGTGATACATATGAAGGTTTCTCAGTATCTTAGGTAGAAACTAAGCCAGGTCTAAGCTACTTCTCCAGGTCTATTTCCCATTAATCCCTTAAACACAATTGGCCTATAGTTCAATGGGCTACTCACTGTTCTCTAAACGCACCCCCCACATTTCCAACTTTCTTTTGCCTGTGCTGTTCCCACAGCCTGGAAAGCCAACTGTTGGCCCGATTCTATCCCAAGTCAGATGTTTTCCTTCATTCCAGTTGTTCTGGAAAGCAATTGGCCTGTATGTATGGAGAACCAAAGACATTATCTTGCCTCTGGACTGAGCTCAGCTGATCTTGCTGGGCCCTCTCACATGTTTGGGCCCTGGCTAATGTAGACTGGTCTTAGTGGCCTCAGATGGGCACCCGGGCATCCCTCCACCTGGCCTCTCATTCTCCAGCAGGCTAGCCTAGACCTCATCATATGACAGAGGCAGGGCTCTGAAAAAGAGAAAGCATACCAGACCTCTGCGGCTTGCACTTGGAACCCATTAATCATCTTTCATGGCTTTCCATTGGCCAATCCAAATTTCAAGGCCAGTCCAGATTCAAGGAAAGAAGGAGTAGTTTCTGCCTCTTGATGCAGTAAGCTGCAAGGTCACACTGCAGAGGGCATGGATGAGAAAGGGGTGAACATCTGGGGACATTTTTGCAGTCTCCTGTGCTGAGGATGGGCAGAATTCTTGTCTTCGAGGGTAGGACGTGACAGCTAAGATCTGGGAGTGCAGTAGTTAAGTGCACCACTCTGGAACCAGTAAGTAGACCTGTTGCTCATTGGGTGTCTTGGTAGATGACGTAAATTCTCTGTGCCTGAGTTTCCTCACTTCCAAAATAGGGAGAAACAACCTACCTCGTGGGTTGTTGTGAGGATTGAATGAGTTAATACATATAAAATGCTTAGAATCCCACCTGGCACAATATGCTGTATGAGTTATTATTATTATCTGGGGCAGACAAAAGAGCACTGCAGTAGGGGGTCTGTGTTCCAGTCTCTGCTCAAAGAGAAGCTGGATGTCAGTTTCCTCACTTGCAGAATCAATGAGTTAGACTGTCTGAGGCCTATGATGGTAAATAACACATACCACAAAATTTAACACTTTAACCATTCCTAAGTGTAAAGCTCAATGGCATTACGTACATTCACACTGTTGTACAATCATCCCCACCATCCATCTCTAGAACTTTTTTATTTTCCATTAAACAATAACTCCCCCTTCCCTTCAGTCCCTGGCAACCACCATTCTACTTTCTGTCTCTATGGATTTGGCTACTCTAGGTGTCATAGATGCGAAATCACAAGATATTTGTCCTTTCATGTCTGGCTTATTTCACTTGGCATAATGTCTTCAAAATGCATCAATATTGTAGCCTGTCAGAATTTCCTTTGTTTAAAAAGGCTGAATAATAATCCATTGTGTAGCATCACATTTTTTTTTTTTTTTTGCATGTTGCATCACGTTTTGTTTATCTATTCTTCTGTCCATGGACACTTGGGTTGTTGCCACCTTTTGGCTATTGTGAATAATGCTGCTGTGAACATGGGTTGTAAGTATCTATTGCTGTCCCTGCTTTCAATTCTTTTGGGTATAAACCAGGAGTGGACCTGAGGTCTTTTAAACACCTTGTGGCCATAGGAAGAGAAAAGCAATGATAAAGTTTGTGTCCCCTTCTCTCCACCCCAGTTTTGAATGTTCCTCCTGAAGCTAATTGACGGAGATGCCTCTCCTCTCTCCATGGCACCAAAGATGCCACTCTTTCTTGTCATCTGTTGGAAAGCCTGGCAATGGTTGGGCTGCTTATCTGCCTCACCCACGAGGTCTGTAAGTTCCTTGAGGGTTTTTCCATTTCCGCGTGCTCAGTGCCAGCCTGGTGGTGGTAGGTTCTTGATAAACACTGAGTGAATGACAAGGAACCTTTCTGATGGCCTGTGTGTGTTACACACACTTCTCTTGAAATGCAATCAGTTTACCGGTGCAACTCAAGACAGCCCCATGTCTTTAGTTTGACGCTTGATATCTGAGGTCTATGGCCCCTTAAGGCTGTATTTGTGTCCTCAGCTGCAGAGAAATTCTGACCACTGAGCAGTTCAGTGGCCAATTTTGACCTTTGAACTTTAAAAGATCTCTTGGTTCTTCAGCAGAGACTCTGGAAATAGGACTTCAGATTCTTCAGGTT